TATATATATATATGTCATGGTAATCAGGATATTTTTCATGTATCTTAATTAAAGCAGCCCAAAAAAACAAATGAAATGATAGAAATAGACCAGTTTAATACATTTTGTAATCTTCTAATTTAAAGTTTATTGTGAAGGTTAAACTGAAGACTCTACCAACTGACGACATATTTGGAATGTGGAACGCATAAGTGCCTTTTTTTTTTTACATTGTCCAGTCTCAGCACAACTTTTTGACCCTAATTCATCCAGACTCTGTTATATGCCGTGTCGATAGTTTTCTGTATAACTGAGCGTTGCCTTGATGTACACAGGTCGTCATAGCAAGGCTGTCTGAAACTTACCAGCAACAAATAATTAAAAGACAAAGTCTGCAAACATCCAGCATTCTTTGTCACGGTTTCCAAAAATGCAGTGGCTAAGTTGAGGTCACTTTTGTTCTCTGTCAGTCGGAGCCCGTGCATTGAGTCTATTTGATCTAGATCCATCTGCACCATACCACATTGTCACCATTTTCATGGCTGTATTTTATATATTTTTTAGGTATGAATGCTGCAGTTGTGAGGTTTAAAAAGGAGAGCTTTTTTTCTGGCCAATCAATGAGCTGCAGTCTGCTGATGTCAAAGCTTCAGCTCCACTTGGTTGAGTGGGTGCTAGGAACAGGGCTGAAAATGGGTGGGACCACCCAACGAAAGGACTCTGAACCTGACCAGTTAGGGCTGAGTTGAGCTTATGTAAAAAGGCCAAACCTGATCCCAAGCTTTGACCTTCCTCTTTCTACATTGTAGCACTTAGTTTAGTTTGGGCTCATTGAAGAGTTTGCTCAAAAAAGTCTGGCTCCAAAACTCATTGCTGGCATCACATACAAAACCCTATTTGACAATTAGAAATTAAAGACATTTTTTATCTGGCTTTGCTAGCCACTTAAATAAATGCTGTTACGTCAATCGATAACATTATCTTTCAAGCTTCAATTTAAAGAGCCAATATTACATGTTTCTCAGGCATATATTTAAATACTATACCATAATAAAGTATGTAAGTCACATTTAGTTGTTATTAAAATGCTGTTTTTATGCTTAAATAGAAAATAAACTGATCTTCTCATCTCTTCCTCTTCTAAATATCTTGAAATTGGCCTCTGTCTCTTTAAGAACCTCCTTCTGCTTCTGTCCCATCCCGTTCAGTGCGGGGGGGCGGGTGTCACATGCGCTTTGATGATGATTTGATGATAATTTTACTTGGCATCTGGAAATACATTTCCTCAAAGGTATTTTGAATCTGAAAAGAGCTTCACTGAGTGAGAAATACTGTATTGTTGAGAGCAGCAGACAGTTAATTTTCACTTTCAGTTTGCTCTGTTACTTAGAGCCTGCAGGAGTCATGGGCGGGGTGTGTGGGGTGGGGAGGTGTGCTCTGTGATGAGGAAGTTTGGCTTAAAGACACGTCCCAGGGGCGTTTCTGGGACCAAAAAGCATTTCTGGTTCCCACTGGTCGTTTTTCTCCCCAGCATGGCTGCTTAAAAACGCTGCAGGATTTCTCAAACATGAGTCAAAGCAAGGCTTTGGGCATGTTTTTTATGAGAGTATAACATTATAACACGATATAAAACTCAAAAAGTTGATTTTATACGATATTGCCCCTTTAACAAAATATCTGCAACTTAGTCAGACTTTTTTTTCCTTTTTAAATGAGTTTCTGTTAGAGAACACTTATAAAAGATAGGGTCCACAGAGTTTTTATTCACTGGAATGTGATTTTCAAGGATTTTTTTTTGACAAGTGACACGTTTCCATTCAGCACTCAAAGAGTTTTAAATTCCTGCTTACCTGTGAATTCATACACACCAAGTCACCAAGGCCTCGCTTATCTTCCTCTGTTAATCAGTACAAATGTTCCGCTGACAGCCACCAAGGATGTCTGACGTTTTTTCAAACCTTGAATGGGAAGCTTCAAATAATACATTCTTGTAAACCTTGTGGGTTTTCAGTGAGCTGACAGAAAATGCTTCAGGAAGGCTGCTGACCTTCACGCATTTAATAGAAATCTATGAGCTGAAAGCGTGTAAGATGTTTCTGAAAGGCGCTGTCAGCCCACACACACACACACACACGCACACGCACACACACGCACACACACACGCACACACACACACACACACACATACCACCATGTGATCACACACTTTTGAAAACTTGGCAACCACATGCTTGAAATCCTCTGAGCAGGGAAAAGTGTGAAGAAAAGTACAACTGAGAGAGTTGTTTTTCTAGATTAAAGAAAATTGTAAAAAAAAAAATTCTTGAAGGGGAAGAGTGATTTGTGATTATAGATACATTCAATGGTTACTTTTTACAGGTTTCATTAAAATGTGTCCACGTAGTGCATGTTTACGTCACTGCACTGCAAAGTAGGCTGTCCTGGGTACCTAATTATGCGGCAGACAAAACCCCGAAAACGTAAGCTGCATCTGAGTATCCTACGCAGCCGACAATAACCTTTTGTGTCAGCAAACTAAAAAAAAACTAAGATGGCTGAGGTTCTTTTACAGTGTAATTTGGAAATTTATAACGAACCAAAGAATTAGTTGTTAAATGCATGTTTAGCAACTTAGCTGATGAAATTTATGCTGCCAAAAGATGTTAAATTAAATGTAATTACAAATGCTGATTCTGGAGCTGAACCCCAAATTATTAATGCTTTTTTATTTATTTACCTGTTATGTTTTAATAATAGATTAAATTTTGTAAAGTTATACCA